TGTACATTTTTCAACTGATTCAGTCATAAAAGTATGAAAGTACATGTTTACACATTTCATTGTACACTTGTTAAAGCGTATATGTACAAATTAAACAGACACCACCCAGTGTAAAACAGGTATATATTATTAGGACAATACTTTCGTGTATGATATGGTTATTTTAAGGTTTATTTATCTAATTCATGGTCTGAATCGATGGATTGCATTTTCAAGCTACAGTGGAAGATGTGAATATGAACCGGATCAGGATTATTCATTCTGTTGGTAATTTGTATTCCCCACAGAATGTAAAACAAAATAAATTTGTTTGTTTGTTAGTTGAAACAGATTCATTTTGTTTTACATTCATTGGGAAATACAAATACCAATAGAATGAATATCATTTACCCAATGCCTAAATATTTTCAAACTATCAAGTAACAACTTGGTTTAGATATGTATAAAAAGATCAGGATTAAATAAGGTAATTAACAGTCGAAAGTGAAGCAATTGCCAACTGAAGAACTTAGTGGATGGTCGTGCTATATTGTGAATTAACAAAAGTAGGAAACTGTGGTTCATTGAACTCCGACCCACTAGCTGAGTGGTTAACGCGTTCTCCGTGAAACCTGAATGTTGTGACTTAGATCTCTGCCAGGACAGGGTTGTTGGTGCGTACTACTGAGGAGTCCCAAACAGGGACGAAACAGCTTTCCGGTGGTCTCATGTTTTCAATGGTCCTCTAAGTGATGTCAGCCCCTGATGAATACCACCTGAAAAGTAAAATCCCCTTAAAACTCAAGGTAATCAGATGTTATCTTGTATATATGTTATTATATTAAATTATCTGGTATTAGAGGCAGAATTTTTACGATGACTTTTGCATGGCATTTCACCATAACTGTTTTGGAAACATTGTACCGTGGAACCACTGTATAAGCAGTTCAGAAGTAAGCGGTACATTGTTGAGTGGTTGAGAGAAACCTAGTCGATTTCGGTGACTGAGATATATTTTAGACGTATTGGCCAGCTTTTCATTTTAGCACCTCATATTGCCTGGAGTACTGCAATGCTAGAATAAAAGTAAGGTTGACAATGTAGGGAGATGTTAACTTCTTTGTTGTGGTATTTGTAGTCTGTGACAGCGATGATTGCTGACGTGCAGTAGCGCGAACGTTTTCATTTTTATCCTGATAGTATGTATCGCTATTCTGTTGATTTCTCTGTCTTCCCTCCTGTTATCCGTCATCTCAATGCTTTGCTATAATGTCCAGCAAATTGAGTTGTTACGCACCTATACCAGGTCCTACTTTGTTTAGTTACTTTATGTAACTGAGTGTAGTTTGGAAATTCAAATTGTCGATTTTAAAAACTGAAAACTAAGTCTAAACTAGTTCTATAGTATAAAAAGCTATACCATTATGTTGGATGACCGTTTTTCGACGGAATTCTCCCTTTCATATGTATAGGCAGAGATAAACTTAACTAAATATGCTAAGTTTTAAATACATGCTGCAAATTATAATATCAATTAAAAATCATTTGAAAACATGATTGAATTTGTAATGGATTTACACAAATTTATCAGTAGAGGGTAACCAAATTTTATCTATTAAGTTTCAATTTAACCATTACAGTGGATCTCATTGCAGTCAATCAACAGTAACCCGTTCTTCACCTAGCACCCGTGCTTGTTGACACTTATGAGCAAGGTATATCCGAATTCTGATTCTAAATCACATCACTCAGCGCCAAAGTGAGAGATTTTACCACTAAGCTATGCAAGTCATATAGGTAATGAATATACAGAAGAGCGAAAAAGACAAACAAAGTCAGCTAGTGGCTGCTGATTAATCTAATACTAATGTTTCTTACTCATTGTATGATTGTAAAGTAATTATCCGCAGTAGAACTAACAGCATCCTGAAAGGAACAGTTTGAGGTTTTCAAAAATAATTTCCTACTAAATGTGATCATATATATGTTGAACAAAATGATTATTAGTGGAAAAGTAATAGGAAGCCGCCAAATTGATTTTATTTGTGATACACTAAAGTATATCATCTTCGTTCCTTTTTGTGATCTATTGTTGGTGATGTGATTCTCACCCTATTTCCGGAAGCTTCAAATTTATTGGCTAACCCCATTTTTACAATGTTAATGTTCTCCTTTCTGGTCAATATTGAAATTCACAATGCTGAGAATTATTTTTCCCTTTTACAGGCATAATAAAAGCTTTCTTTTAAGATCCATGTTATTTCTTCTTTTTGTTCACGTTCATCGAAGTGTTGAGGCTATTAGCGACAGAAACGCAGTCAGCGTTCATAGTAGGAATGTAGTATTCTGGTATTTTATTTGAACACAAGAGTACACGACTTCACAAGATATGTAGTTGGTTATTCGCCTAACATTCTGATCACATCTTCCAATACGAAATAGTATGTCACATTTAATTAAACGTCAGTCTCAGAGGGAAGCGTTAACTACGGGAAAGAGTTCACGTCGGCCAGATAAACGTTTATGGCTTTTAAGACTGCTTATACGAATATATTTTAATATAATCTCTGCATGTTTAGAAAATCAAGGCAAGATTTTTCTGAAAATTTCACTTTGTAAATCACGGTTTCTCCATCAGAATACTCGGATTTTTTATCAATATCAAAATATATAGTCACATAATACCTCAAAATATTTAGTGTATGTAGGTCATTGGTTAGGTGGTTTTCTTTCCAGTCTGAATAGTCAAGATTAGTCACTACAACCTCACATTTCTTATCATTTTTCAACGAAAAATGCACGCCAGTCAATATATATATATATAGAAAGTGTTGCTCCCTCTTCTTGTATGAGACTACCAGTTTATTGATGAACAATCAGTAATTGTCACTGTTATTGAAGCTTCCATTAAAAAAGGTCATCATTATTGGTGACAAGTCTATTCTATCTCTTCTGTTTATGGCATTTGAAATTGTTAAAATATGTAGCTCTTCTTCTAGGACAGTCTGGATTGCGAAATAATTTATATGAATCAATGTTTGACCGGATAGTTTCATAGATATTGGGCGCCAAGTCAAAGGTTGAGATTAGTTTTACGTTGTATTTGGATTAATCTCAGGGTGTTTGAAACAAGAAATTCCAACATTTCGCACAGAAGTCTGGTCCAACCTTCCTTGACGAAACTCAGACCAAACCCTTGTGCAAAACTTTGGCATTTCTTATTTCAAACACACAGATTTATCCAAATGTAACTTAAAACCATAATCTGGATGTTTATAATTTCAGACTACTTGGTGAAATTATTTACCATGATATGCTATCGAGATGCAACATTTGAAGTCTTGGAACTAATTGACATGATACAACTTGAATTGAACGAAATTAAGAGGGTAAAAGATATCAATGAATGTAATGCCAGGCCATGCTGTTTAATTACTCAAACAAACATTGATGATAAAGGTTAGAAGTGTTATGCCCTGATGAGCCAGCTGGTTGTACCATGTCAAGGAGTATAGTTCTCATTCTCATATTTCAATAAAATTCATTTTGTTCACCAATAACAATTAAATCCAAGAGTAGTTCGTATATTTCAAAATGAATGAATTTACCATAAAAAATTCAAACGAAGTTGCTACCTACGATCACATCAATATCTGGAATTTTAATCACACGTCATATATGTATGATGTTTTCATTTTGTTACTGAGTTAACTCTTGCAGTTTTTATGTATTCTTCATGTCATCCCATTACTAGAAAAAAACTTTGAGGCATAAGCACCATACGTTATTGTAGCTTTCCGAAACAGGCTAACAGTAACCTCGAATACTAGCCACTTTTGTTGTAGTCTTTAGCCCAAGTAGTTATTAGCCACTCTCTAATACATTTATTATGCGTTAACCGAATCCTCTGACAGGAGTGTTTGTTTTCATGTGGTTGAGTTGCTTAGTTGTTTCCTGCTCGACAAGGGGACTAATCTACCAGGTTTGTTGGAATGTTTATAGATCTGAAAACCGACCTGGAAATCGGGGCTGAGCCGAAAATTGGAGTGAGCACCTCAGGTTACCTTCATTATATGTATTTAAGAGACATACCTTTATCTGTCGAATAGTTAACCGGATGAAGAACGTGCTGAAAACATACTGAAGATCATTTATGACCGGGTCATTAGGGCTTACCAGTCATTTTATGATCATTTTAACACAAAAAGGCAGTTCCATTTGATTTCTTGAAGAATTATTTTTATTTATCTTTGTCAAGTTTTTAGAATCTGATTTTTATTTGTTGAAAGTGTTGATTTGAATGAAGAAATATAAGTGGGCTTAACTGCTTTGCCTCGAGACTGTGAACGGTTTTTAGCTGTCATCCATCTAGCCTGTAAGCCTGTCAGCTTCAATTAAACTTATTTTCTCGGTTCTGTATCATTTTCTTTCTGTTCACCTCCCTCTCTCTTTTATGAAACCGTGATGTTTAGGTTCAAACGTGTATTTTCAGTTATTTCGTCACAGAATGTAACTTCACTTCTCATACGATAGGCGTGGTTCATAGTTTAATGCACGAAGCTCCTGGGAAGCATCATTCGCTCTTTTCTTTCTTACGTCTGTTTACCTGTAAACTTGATCTACATAACTGCATTATTTAAAGTGGGTGATATATTTCACTGAGTAAGCAGTATCAACATTAAAATTATTCTTCTACAAAGTGTGTAGATGATGCCATGATATAGATCAACGGAATACTCCTTTGGAAACATCTTGGTTTGTTGTTTTGAAAGACAGTTTCGGAGACGATGGATCTACAGGTTCACCTTAGTTATACGAAAGAGCAAGGAAAATACATTTTGGTTCTTTCAGTTTGTTACATTTTAAAACTTAACTTCAGACTGTAAGAATTTATTTCCTGGAAAATTAGTTAATTCGTCTTTGATTAATTGGTCAACTTACTCTATAAATATCCTTACTTACTGTGTACATTTCAAACATATTCGTTAATGATAATAATTCTTATTGATTCTGTTGTTTAGGTACAGATCTCATCATGGTTTGATGATGTAAATGATCGCGTTTTATTGGATCTTATCCCTTATTTTGAAAAGCTTGCAACCCAGCCCAACGTTGTTGACTTTTTAAAAAACAACGTTCCTCCTACACCTTATGCTGCAATTGGTACAGTTGGGCTACCTCCTGGATTTTTCCCTCACACAACACTTCCCGCCGGTACCAGTATCGGTAGTGGTAAATCTATTGATGGGAGTTCAATAATTTCGAATATAAAGCGTCCAACTGTTGCCTCTCCATTTCCTGTATCAGCTGTATCGAATCGTTCTCCAACTGAAAAAGAAACACCTACTACTTCTACTGTTCCAACATCTTTGGAGTCCAAAACACAACATGTAATTAGTTCTGATGAAGTACCGTTAATCGCTAAACTTGGACCAGCTAGTAGTGGTCCTTCCTTAATACCTGTAACAAAAAAACAAGATGTCTCTGTCTTTCCCGTACCTTTGTCTTTAGCAACCTACTCTCCTGTCAGTTCGCCATCATTGAATGTACTAGCCTGTACAAAAGTACATCCTAGCGATTCCGTTCAAACACATGTCTCCGTATCGTCTACGAATGTGTCTAATTCTTGCGAAAATACGCAACTTCAAGTATCTGAAGCCTCAGACATTTCACCTGTGTCTTCAACAAGTCAACCGTATTACATTCCTTCTGTAGACTCATCTGAACAGAATTCGCTGGTTGGACAGATCTCATCAAGTTCATATCACCAGAAAAAACAATCTCATTCTAACAAACGATTTGCCACTGTTCCAAATCGTTTCAAATCCAGTCCTAATACTTCTTCAGTTGATGGAAATCATCGAGCATCATCGGAAAAAACGATGAAAACCATTGGACCGCTTGGCAATAGTTTATCTCTTTCCCCTGTCCCATCCACCTCGAGTGTAACCTCTGATTGTACCTCAACAATAAGTTATTCTGTTAAGTAAGGCCTTTTGCTCGCTAAAACGATAATCCTCAACCATTGTGCCAAAAAATCTGTGTATTATTTCATTTTGTTTAAGATACAAATAGGCGCCTAATTAATTTATCAAGTGATATTGTCTCACCTTGTAGGTGTTTTCGCTCAGGCATTTAACGGTGATGATGATGGCCAGTAATCATTACACTCTCTTTGTATGTATGTACACTTCGAATTGATGTTAGCTGTAATTGTTAAGGTACAAAGAAATCTCTAAAAATTATTATGCCTGCTCAAATAAATAGTATGTTCCTTCATATATATATATATATATATATATATATATATATATATATATATATATATAAAGCTATATACGAACATTTGTTTATATGTATAAGTATTTTTGCATGCATGTATGCATTGTGGTGAGCATACACTAACTTTTTTGTTTCATTATTCGAAATAATCACAGAGTATATTTTAATTGTGGTTCATTTCGTTGGATAACGCAAGAATGTATATACGTTCAGCGCTCATTTCATTTCGTTTTGATTTCATTGCATACTACTTCCATATTTGTTCTTATGTTTAAATAAAAAGAAATAAATATTTCATGTGTAATTCTTTACCTATTTAAATTTCTGTTCGTAAATTTTTCATTCATCTTTCATCTAACAGCATTAATCGCTTAAGAAGAGATATGCCATACATTATTTTAGTGCAATACTATTTAATATGGAGATATAATCTTTTTTCTCCTTATCTAATTGAAATACCTTTTACGTCCAAGTTTCCTCCTTTCAGCATCCATCATGGTTTGCGGACGTGTGTGTGTGTTTTGTCTTTTATTCCTGTTGTTGATCTCACTCTGTATCTTCAAATTTATTTTCATTAGTGATAATGGTTACACTTGTTTATGGTGTCACATCTGTCAATCCCTTCGATATACTGTTCAATACAGTCTTCTTTTAAAACTGGTTTATTTCTTCACCTTTTCTCCATGCTTCATATTGTACTTATCGTTTGCTTGTTATCTTCACTTCATCTTCATTCACAACTGCTTTGATCCTGTTTTTTGTGTGTTTGAAACGAACATGCATGCGCGACTTGTTTCGTATGCATTGTTAAACCCGTTGCGGTTCTCGTCTCTTTTCTTCTGTGGAACAGTCTCTCTCTCTCTCTCTCTCTCTCTCCCTATATATATATATATATATATATATAAACCGAATCAGATGTATACATGTGATAAACGTACACCTTCGCATATTTTATTTATTTGCCGAGATTATTCATTTACCACCAGTGCACAAATAACCTTAATTTTCCTCATTTTCCCATTGATTTATGTACGTTTTGTTTCTCGTTTTCCCTATTCACCTATATATATATATATATATATATATATATATATATATATATATATATATATATATATATATATATATATATATATGCCTGTCAACTTGTTTATAGCTGCTGCTTTGATTTTAGATTTTCGTTCTTTTTTGCCAAACAAGTAACGCACAACGCAAACACATACACACGCTTTTTATGTGTGTATGTGTGTCTACATACAAATATATTTTTGTAATTAAATCCGACAACAGCTTCGATATGCATACACATAACTGCATGTGTATTGGTGCCTTTTAATTTGGTTTTATTCAGTAAGTGGGAAATAAAACAATAAAAAAAACGAGAAAGAAACAACTATACTACTGAAAAATATTGATTTCTTTCCTTTCTTGTTTGCTTTTTGATAGGGTTTATAATGATCGTATTCAAGGTTGTTTGTTCTTTAAAGTTTTAACTTTTGACTCAAGGAATATCACGATTAAGCCTTTTTTTTCGAAAACAAACGAAACGGTTCACCTACCTTGCATAGCTTTTCGACAGTTGATTGAGAATCGTATATTTTGCGCGAGGACTTACGTTATTGTCAGACGGTTCAAAGGGAAACGAATGCATGAAGTGGAGTTTGAACTCTGAGCCTAGTTTCTTAAAAATCAACGACTTAAAGCAGTGAGCAATACTTCCATGCATGAAAAATAACACACGTTAGGTTCGAGTTGAATATCTTAAGTCGTATTTCATACTTTGTATTAAGCAGCTGTGGATGAGTCGTGGTATTCACCTCTTGAAATGTTTAATTTCACATCAAGAGTTGTATGCTTTAGAGTTTTTTGAAATAGAACTATTTTCGACTCATATAGGAGATATTTGAATAGATTGAAGTTATTGATTTCTTATCTTTGGTAGATACACTGGTCACTATCTGTAGAAGTAAAGGTAGTAGGGCTCTGATAAGAATTTATACTCTATCACTTCACTTTTTAAGCCAATACCTTTTTTCCATCACTCTAGATTGAAGCCATTGTTATACCTACGTTTAAAATAGGCAGGTGTAAGTAATGTATATAATAATCACGGTATCCTTCTAGTACCAGTAGGGTTAAATTTATTGACTTTTATTAGTCTTCATAAGCTATACAAAGCGCATGAAAAACTGATCTGTGAGGACCAGACCGGGTTTGATTCAGGCTGTAGAAGTACTGGTCATGTATTTGTCCTCCGCCAGATGCTCAAACCGTCACACGTATTGCAGGCTAACCATCATATTTCTGGATATTAGGACTGCTTTCGATTCATTGAACAGGGTTGAACTCTGAAGCTGCGCACTACAGAGATATGTCCTTGAGAAGTCTGTCAGCATTTTGAAATCCTTTCACTGTAACTTTTCAGTTACAGTGAGTACATAAAGTCACATCTACCCACTGCTCCAATCCAACAGTCAGCTTTAGTAGGGTTGCTCGATTTCATTTCTTACCGATTTTACCATCCTTGACGTTCTCGAGACAGCTCTATAGGGGATGCGAGGTGGTAGTATAACTCTGGTGTCAGGTTAGGGTTCTACTATTTAAGATCAATACTAAGAAGACTATGAAGTCATGTTTTTTAGTCTCTACTACCATGTCCGTACAACAAAGTTGATTGCTACGCTATGCAGTATGATCGTCTTTTTGTACGCTAAAGGGGTAACTTACCGGTGCTAAAGAGTGTATAAGTCAGTAAATGCCAAATGCATCTTCTATTCGTCCTGAGATTTCGACATCAATCAGTCTCTTAAGATTGATGCGACTTCGTAATTAAGAGAAGTGATCAGCGCATTCAACCATTTAACTTGTTATCCACAAACTGGGATTTGGTTTAGACCAATTCTGAAGCATTGTTTTCCACTTGAGAGGCACGAAAAGCATACTAAGCCCAATCACATTTTTTAAAGACGTTCAGGACACTGCGTTTTGTCAGCATCGCCTAGCAAGACTATGTCATCTGCGTACACTAATTCGACCATATATATCCCCTTCAGAGTAAGTCCGCTTCTGTAAACTGATTAAGTTTTAGCAAAATTAGTTTTATGAATTCTAAATAATATTAATTTCACTTGGCAAAATGCTGAACATGCTTATCACTAGTTATAAACTAACGAAATAACGTAGTAGAAGAATGCTACCTTGTCAATTTGTTGAGCGCTGATGTCATATGATGAAGGAAAATCGAATCTTCACTGAATGAATATATCCAAAGCATTATTAATTGTGTAGAGCACGTATTGACATATATGAGTAAACAAAGTTACACTAGCAGGAGTGCAAAATAAACATTCACAGCCATATTGCATAAAATCGATAATAAACTAAAGTGGGTTGATTAGTTACCAACTTTAGGTGCGAGATATAGGGCTTTCCCCCAACTACCAAGTGGAAAATATGTTTTCTAACTGGAATACAGAGCTGTGTAAATTTCATTGGAATAGGTGTGTATTGTTGGGTTTAGGGACTTGTGAAGATTTGATTAATTTCAAGGTGCTACTCATCATATACTGACATCAGTTGGGGAATATAGGAGCACTAAACAGTTATATCATCCTAGTATAGGACTCCTCAACAGTCGTGTTATACGGCCTGGAGACATGACTATATTATAAGTAGAAGACATGAAATGGTTATAGGTGTTTGATCACAGGTGTCTTCGTAGTAATGCTCGCATTTGGTGGGATCACCGTGTGGGCTCTGTTGGGGTCTGGCGAAGGGTACTAGGCAAGTCGGTTAATTAGGTTATGAACTTTAGCTATCTGAGGTGGATTGGAGATGTTTTGTGTATACCGAACCACCAACTGCCTTGATGTGCTATACTAGGGGAGGCTGGATTAAGTTGGAATAGGGTTCAGGGTGATCCGACCAAGACGTCGCACCGGTTGGTGAAGTCCCTAACTAAGGGTCCGAGTCATGTGCAGAGATGTGGACTGCCGTGTTGGGATCCCTGAGACGAAAGGAATCAATGTTTGAGAACTATTGGTGATATGACTGAAGATCGGTCACAACGGCATAGATGCATTCACTCCTTTATATCTTCTAAAACTTGAATATTTACACTAACTTTTATCTTCAAACTGTTCATCCTCTCACTTTTCTACTTTCATATCATTCCTTTTCCATCTTGTTCTCTGTATACTGCTGTGAAATGTGGCAACTTGAGCCGATGTTTGAGGTTCGACGTTGATTTTGTCTGTATTTCTGTCTGCTCAACTGCGACCTTTCCGAGGATTCAATCCGGGACATTTAAGTCTCGTGGCGAACATGTTTCCATTGAGCTACTAGTTTAGAATTCAGTGGTCAAAATTTTCCTACTTCCATCACGCTGCGACACAGTGCGATTATCATCCAATGCCATCCAAAAGTAATTACTATTCTTTGGCCATTAGTGATATTCTTCAAAATGAACTTCCTGGTGCTCTAGTGAGAAGCTGTGACTTGAAGGGTTGATCAAGTTGAGTGTTATGGAAAATATTTGTCAATGACATTATATGATGGTTCGGCTACATCGCGAACTGAAAGAAGTAGGAAAATGTTGACCACTGGATTCCGACCCAGTGGCTGGATAGTAACGTGCTCGCCATGAGATTTGATTGTCCCAGATCCGACCCTTGGCAAGGTCACGGATACGTATTGTTTAGGAGTCCCATACAAGGACGAAACAGCTGTATGATGCTTCCATGTTTGCGATCGTCCTCCAACTGGTATCAGTTTGTGATGAATATCACCTTGATATCTATATTATTGATTAGGATAACCCTTGTCAACTTACGCTATTAATGATAACGAGGTGACGTCTATTAACTCAATAGGAGTCAGACATGAAAAGGACAGGTGGACTTCTTTTGACTGCATGAATCGTTGGTTTCTAGGGCTGACTGATAGGATATCACTTAATCGATACTTCACAAATCGCTTAACCTAGATATTGTTTTTT